TAGAAGCAGCAACCCGCCTTGTGATGCCACCTGGCTCAAGGCTGATTAAGACCCGGGACCCTGGGCTGTTTGATCTTCACTCATCAAAGGGTCGTTAAGCAGGCTTCATTTTACACTACTGTAAGGTAGCGACAGCTCTTGAGCGGCCTGAGCCTGAGCAAGCACTCGGCAAAGGGGGGTTCTTGGCTCACCCTGGCGGGAAGGGGATGCAGCCACAGACCCGAGCCCCTAGTCTTGCTCAAAGGGAAGAACCCTTGCTCCAGCCCCTTACCAGAAGTCAGTACTGTTTCTAGCCTACATCTTGATTCTGCCAAGGACCTAATTACAGTCCACTAGCTGGAAATTTGGAGGTAGTTAAGATGTCAGTTCCACGGCGCTGCAACCAGTTTGGGAATGAAACAAAATCAATCCATTCATCCCTTTACACCTATTCATTCATTCATTCATTCATTCATTCATTCATTCATTCTCTCCCACCTTCCCTCTTCACGCATCTTTTAGGAAATCAGGTAGTCATGCAGTTCATCATATTTGGGGAAACCTAGTTTTCATTCTTCAAAACCAGCAAGTTACCAGAGTCCACAGCAGTGACTTAATAAAGCTTGCAAGTTACCAGAGTCCACAGCATTGCTTAATAAAGCTTGCGGGTTGTCTGAAAGACTTTAACCTGTAGACAAAAGGCCTTGGCCAGAATGCTTAAAGACTATTTTTGTAGCCAGAAGGGGGCTCTCGTGTTTTCCCAGCATGATATTTACAAATGAAAAGAAAGCTAGCTGTGCAATCCCAAAGGGACTGTCTTCACCTAGAAGTGTCCAGTGCCAAAAGCCAGCCCTACCTTCCCATGTGGTGGCATGGGGCCCATTTGGCCATAGCCCATGGAGGATGCTGGTATAATAAAGAGGGTAATGACGGGACCCAGTGACACTGAGGAAAATTCAATCCTCTGTAGCCGGTGGCTTCATCCCCTATCCTCCCCTGGCACTACCCCATCGTTATGACCGGAAATACGAAGTCCTTCAGGGGGATATTTCGGGGCAGCTAAACTCCTAGACCCTACCCATCACAGACCTTCCTGAGTGTCAGGACCTCAGAAAAGATGTAGGCAGCCAACCTCCTTGGGTGCCTGTCTCACCAGATTTTAGCCAAGCCTCCTAAGGTTCTGAGCTCCATGCTGTTTACATTTCAATGGATCCAGCACCATCTTCTGAGCCGGCTTATACACTCTCTTGAAGCTGAATTTGTCTAGGCTGGCTGTCTTCATGGACTGACTAAAGTAGTAATCGTGAACTCACTTGCTTGCTTGCTTTTTTTTTTTTTTTTTTTTTGTACTACAGAAAAATCTACCATTTCAGGGGAGTCTAAACGGCTGAATCTCTTCCATAATGTTGAACATAGACACTAAGAATCTTTTAAAAGTGAAGGAGAAAGGCATAGTGATTTTATTAAACACCAGGAACGGGAAATCACTACTCTTAGTTCAAGATTGGCACAAGGGAAGATGTTGGCAACACCCCCCCCCACACTTACATGGTGTTTTCTTATTGAAGCAAAAATGAAATGTTAGGTTGGTTGGTGGTAGCATTCACCTTTAATTCCAAGAGGCAGAGGCATGAGGATCTCTGTTCAAGGCCAGCCTGGTCTGCAGTGCAAGTTTCAGGACAGCCAGGGCTACACAGTGACACCATGTCTCAAAAAAAGAAAAAAAGAAGAAAACAACAAAAATATGAAATGTCCACATATTCACTAACTTCAGTTTGACAAGTAGAGAAAGAGGGAAGAGGGGGAAGAGGACAAGGGGAGGGGGAGGAATGAAGAACCCCAAACAGTAAAGGTGGGAAAGTAATTTGCAAACAGCCCAGTGTTTCATTTCTTTAAATATTGTTTGTCATTTGTCTAATGAATAAAATGAACCAATATTCTATGCTGCTGCCCAACGCTTAAGATAGAAGGAAGGCATGTCTTACTACATCTCTGAGCTGCAGAGTTCAATTCCACTGTGCTAAGCAGTTCTTCTAGTCTCAAATCTTATATAAAATATTAACTGCATTGTAATAACTGTGGTCATACTTAGACCGCATCCAACGAGAGGCCTTTTAGAACGCAAAGTATACTAAGTGTACAACCCTCTACTTCACCACCTAGCTGCAAGAGACTCCAAGAAATATGTCCTCCAACTTCCTGAGGCCAATCATATGTGGTCTTAGTTCTTGAATTTTTCTTCTTTTTTTTTCCCTCCTGGGCAATAAGTACCAAGTATCATCTACCTAAATAACAAAACTGAGCCAGATGTGGTGATACATGCCTATAACCCTAACAACGGAGGAAACAGGAATAAAGAATCTCAAGAGCAGGCTACAAAGGTGCTAGCAGTCTTAAAATACAAAGATCACAAGAACATCAACAAAAACTAAACAACCAACCAAAAAACAACAATAAAAAATAAAAAATAAAATAAAAATAAAAAAAAAACCTCCCTCTGTGTCCTGATACTGTGTTTATCAGGCTACTGGGAGACTGGAAGGAGGCTGCCTTCAGAGTATTAGAAAGAAAAAAAAATGCTCTTAGTGGGCCCCACTGAGTGTTCTTTGGCACTGAAGGAGCAGTAAGCATCTCTTTCCATCTTTACCTTCCGATTATGACACCCGGGAGTAAGCTAAATCAGAGCAAGTATTCACAAATGAAGAACAATGTGCTGGACAGGGCAAATTTCTCCTACAAAATTTCTCACCCTTCCCATCGTGAGCTTACTCTTTTCCTGAATAATTTGAAGGTGAACATTATGACCATTTTTTTTCTTTTATTGAAGTAATGCCAAGTAGACTCCTTAGCACATAGTAAGATCACAGATCTGGACCTAGTCACACCTTCAGAAGGAGCATAAAGAGTAGGGAGTGCCAAAGCCAGTCCCCTGATTTCATTTGTGCGTCCCAGCTCTTGGTGAGCTAAGTTCTGTGTGTTAAGAGTAGGTGTGTTGTCAGATGGCATTCCTTCAGAATCCAGGGAGAGGGCTGAGCCTGTAGCTAGCTAGCATAGGTGTACTTCTAGAATTATTTAAATAGGAAAAGAAGTCCATAAAAAATAAGACCCTTTACTTCCTAAAACAGGCAGAGGATTCACTCCCTGCTCTCCAGTGTCATCTGAATTTAAATGGAAAGACACTCAACACTCTGATCACTAACATCACTATTATGTGATAAGACCAAGATCTCCTGCCATTTTGTTTTTCTAGTCCATCTCCCCCAGGGCCTCTGCAAACTCCAGGTCGACTGGCTGGTAGGTCTTTATGGAGCCAAGGAAATCTGTGTTCTTGTCATCCACTTGTCCCCCACCCCACCTTACTGTTTCTAATTTTCAATTTTTAAACAAAACTTTAAAGCATCTTCGGTTTAAAATCTTCTAAATGTCTGCCGGTGAGAAGAGACATCACTGCGTGTAGAGGCACCGTTAAAGAACTGAGGCAACCTTAAAAGTTACAGAGAAGACACTCTGATTTCTGAAAACTACCCAACAGATATTTTTAAACTGTGGTTGTTGTTGTTGTTTTAATCCTTCCTTGCTCAACCTCAGGATTATACTTGTTTAAGGCTATCCTCAGCTATTTGGGGGCCTTCCCAGGAATGGCTGTTATGGACAATCCAGGAGCTAAGGGAACACATCTTAGCCCACCCTCTTCAACAGTGACTTCCAGTCATCCCTCCTTCTCAGTCTCGCACAGCAGTTGCTGGTTTTCTCACACGGATCTCAATCGTTATTAACGCACATTTTTTTTTTAATCTTTTGTTGTATCAGGACAACTGTCTCTTTCAGTATCGCGATGGCTGGACAGAGAACTTTTATTCTCTCACTAAATTATCTCTAGTTTATAAGCACAGCATTCTCACATCAGCGCTGTTTCACATTCCTTCTGTTTTAGGTTCAGCGCTCCTTTTCCGGGGGTAGTCTACTATCACCCCAGAAGGTTCTTTCTCCTGTCCTGTCCTGGACAAGGTTTGATTGGGGATCAAAAGCGAGCCCTCACCCGCTCAGCGATACAAACACTAATGAGGAAGTCGGGAGCTAAGCCTTCGGGGTTCTTATCTCCTTCTATTAACCCACCGCTGGGAACCGGGAACCCGGGAAAGAGGACTGACCGCGGCTTGGGGACCCTGTCCGCTCTGGCTCAGGGCCACTTTGATCTCACGTGTCTGCTTAATCAAGTTCATCTACTGCTGGGATTGACCAGATTCAAAGAACCACATTAAATAGTTTGATTATCGGGAGCTTATTTCCCTCTTCCCTCCACCCCTGATCTAATTTCCAAACGCCAGTCTCTCGCCTCCCCCTCCAAATTCACCATCAAAAGCGAATTAGTTCTTCCCTTGGTATCCTCATTTGATGTGCAAATTTTCTTGTCTTTGCACATTTTTCTCCTGGTGCGTGTGTGTGTGTGTGTGTGTGTGTGTGGGGTGGGGAACTAGACAAACTTAAAAGACAAGAACCTCATTTGCAAATCGTAACCCTAAAGGGTTAATCAGCAACTCACAGGAGCCACCTGGGCCTTTCACAAAGCCTTTGAGCGACTGCTGGAGTTGAGTTTAATACTGAATATTATTTGCGGGCACAGAAAGCGAGGGCAGGCGTAAGGGGAAGGGGAGAAAAGTGGTGTTTTATAATATATTCTATCACCTTTAACTCGAAAAAATGTTTCAGATAGAAATAACCCCACACCAGAGTACTGGAGCTGGCAAAGCGCTGGTCCGTCCGTCCCTCCTCCCTCTTTTTTTTTTTTTTTTTTTTTTAATTAAAGTCCAGGCTAGGCTCTAACGCTCTGATAGCCGGAGCTCTAAGGTGAGCTGGACAAGAAGGACTATAGTGCAAGGGCGGGGCGAGGGGGAGAGTGTCAAAGTCCTCCCTGCTTCCGATACACAAACACTCCCCCTCCCGGCTCCTCCCAGAGCTTTGAAATCCCATCCTGGCTTTGTTGTCTTCCCCGAGGGGCTGGGACGGCTCAGGGCCCGAGTATAAAGGCAGCCAGAGGTGGCGGTGGCGGTGCAGAGCTGTGCGCCTGGCAGCAGAGACTCCACCGGCTGGGGATCCTCCGTCCGGACTCTGCAGCTGCTGTGCAAAAGTGACCTCTCTTTTCCTGACTCCCTCCCGCCTGCGTCCTTCTGAGATGACGGTGGTGTGCGCGGTGGCAGCTGGCCGGCTCTTGGTCGGGCTTACAGCGGTGGCTCTTTGCAGCCTCCCACTGCTCGGAGCAAGCGCCACCTTGAACTCGGTCATCATCAACTCCAACGCCATCAAGAACCTGCCCCCACCGCTGGGTGGCGCTGCGGGGCAGCCGGGCTCGGCTGTCAGCGTGGCTCCGGGAGTTCTGTACGAGGGCGGGAACAAGTACCAGACGCTTGACAACTACCAGGTGAGATGGGTCTCGGGGATCGGAGGGTGTTGTGATCCTTGAAGGGGTCTCGGGGAAGAGGACGTGGAGTATCCCGGGTGTGTGAGATTTAGGGAGTGTTTGGAATCACTGCACCGGGGGCTATGGGCTTGGAGAGCCTTCGAAAGGCAGGTGGGGACCTTGAAGGTGTGGGCACCAGGATGCCCGGGTTGCTCACCACTCCGCTCCCTTCCCACAGCCCTACCCTTGCGCAGAGGATGAGGAGTGCGGCACTGATGAGTACTGCTCCGGGCCCAGCCGCGGGGCAGCGGCTGTTGGAGGCATACAAATCTGTCTGGCTTGCAGAAAGCGCAGGAAACGCTGCATGCGGCACGCTATGTGCTGCCCCGGGAATTACTGCAAAAACGGTGAGTCCTGGACTCCTTTTAGACGGGAACTACGGAACTACCCTGCCTCCGAGCGCCCACCCAGGAGTGCACCCGGAAATGCTCTGGTTCTGCCAACAAGGCACCACCTGCAAACCCGTGTTCATCATGCCAGGGTTCTCCTAATACGTGTTCACTGGCTTGTGTTTGAGGCCCTGGAAGTTTATCTTCCCCTGCCTCCCTGGATAATCTAACAACACTTCACCCGAGTGAGAGTGGACCCTTCCATCAAACAATTGTCTTCAGGGAGCCTCAAGGCACCTGAGAAAGTGGGAGAGGTCATTCTGAAAGGCAGACCTAGGGAGCCAGCCTTGGCATTTTATTACCACTTCCATTTTTTTTTTTTTTCCTTAAGGTGACTCTCCAAGGCTTTGCCAGGCTCTCTCTTCTTTCTCAAGGTCTCTAGATGTTAAAGTGTTGTCAACGGCGGGCTAGGATGATTAATCTCTGCTGGCCAGCCTTTAAAAGAGATCTCTGTGCCACTTAAACCCCTAGCTCTACCCCCCTTCGCCCCCTTCCCTCCACCCTCAACTACCTTCAAAGAAGTACTCTCAGGGTAGAGACCACAGATCCGCAAAATGTTAATGTCTCAAAGAAGTCTCCAGAAATAAACTCACAGGGTGGCTAACTTCCTGGGGCACGGCAGCATTCCAGAGTGAACTCACTAAATCTCTGTAATATCGAAATTATACACTAAAGTAACTGGCGGGTGAAACCCGTAGTCGTCCAGGCAGCTGGAACTGCACTGCGCAGTTAGCACCCAGAGCAGAGAAGTTTCTGTTTTTTGTTTTTTTTTTTTTAACTGAATTTCTTTTTCCTACCCCAAAGGGTAATATTAAAACGGACAGAAATATCACTGCTGCCGCCACCACAATTAGTGGGAAAGCATTTTCAATGGCTATACTGGGGTGTTGCATATGAGTGAATGGTGTACCCACTGATGCAGGTCTCTCTGGGGAGTTCTGTTGACCAGAGAGGCGGTAAGGTGTCTCCCGCCGACGTGACACTATAGACTGCTCCTGCTCCTGTCATGGCTATCAGCAGCAATACACCACAGCCTGGGGATTAATCACTCTTTCTCGCTTCCTTAGGAATATGCATGCCTTCTGACCACAGCCATTCACCTCGAGGGGAAATCGAGGAAAGCATCATTGAAAACTTGGGTAACGACCACAGCACCTTGGATGGTTCCCGAAGAACCACCCTTGCTTCGAAAATATATCACAGCAAAGGTAGGTCAAAGGCCTTAAGACTCGTCCCCCCCCCCCACATTTAGCATACCAGGCGTGCATTTCGAGTTCTCTCAACGAAAAAAGGTACAAGGCCTAGCCATAACAGTCATTTTCCTCCTGTCTCCATCACAGGACAAGAAGGCTCCGTCTGCCTGAGATCATCAGACTGCGCCACGGGGCTGTGCTGTGCAAGACACTTCTGGTCCAAGATTTGTAAACCTGTCCTCAAAGAAGGTCAGGTGTGTACCAAGCACAGGAGGAAAGGCTCCCACGGGCTGGAGATATTCCAGCGCTGTTACTGTGGGGAAGGGCTGGCCTGCAGGATGCAGAGAGACCATCACCAAGCCAGCAATTCTTCCAGGCTCCACACCTGTCAGAGACACTAAGCCAACGAGTCTAATGGGACGGACTCCTTTACCTAATATATGCTATGAAAAATCCTTTATGATTTGTCAGCTCAAGCCCAAGGATGTACGAATCTTCAGCGTATAGTTAAGCATTCCGATAATAACTTGCCAAAACCTCTGGAGTGTAAGGACTTTGTTTCGTGATGGAACTCCCCTGTGATTGCAGTAAATTACTGTGTTGTAAACCCGCAGTGTGGCACTTACCTGTAAATGCAGCGAAACCTTTAATTATTTTTCTAGAGGTGCTACATTGTCTTTGCTTCTCTTGCATGTAAATTTTTGTACACATTGATTGTCTTAACTCATAAATATTCTATATTGAAGTAATTTCAGCCTACAATTCCTAAATGTGTAAACTTTTCTTCTCTTGTTTTTAGAATGTAGAATGCAAGGAATAGTCAGTGTTTGGTATCAAAAATTTAACATGAAAATCCTAGTTTATTTCCTGAGATGTGCTGTCTTTGCTTAGGCTCTGGCTCTCTCTCTCTCTCTCTCTCTCTCTTTTCTCTCTCTCCCTCCGTCTCCTCTCCTCTCTCTCAGCTGTGACAGTCCTTGAAATAAAATTTAACATTTAATAGTCATGAAATGTCACAAGCATAGATACATTGTGGAATTCTGTGTGTGTTGTATGCAGGTATGGATGATGTTTTAAACTGACAAGGCACATTGTCTATGTTTGAATAACTTTAAAGAGAATATATTCTACATTGATAAACTGGAATGGTTATGGTAATATGGGTTTGACTCTGATATTACTACTTTCAAAAATACTTCTCTACCAGGTGCTGCTGGTGGTTTATAATCCTGTAATCCCAGAATTTTGGAGACTGAGGCAGGAGGAATGCCCGTTGATTCACTAGCCAACCTAATGAGATCCAGGCCAACTTCGGCTACTGAGTGATGCTCAGTTTCAAAATAGCATCAACAAAAATAGTTTCCAACAAATTAAAACTTATCTAAATGCCCAATAGTTATTGGAAGGGAGGGGATGTCCAAGAAAGTTATTTCAAAGTACTTAATAATGGGCAGAAAAAAAATGAAGAAGTTGTGCAGAAACATGGTGAACAAGTACATTTAAGCCAAATAATTGAGCCACACTATTTTAGATACTCTGGCATACAAAAAAATTTTAATTACTTTGATTTTAAAATAATTACTAAATAGTCAAAAATTCTAAAATGCTTCCCTTTTTTTTTCCCTTGTCAAGCGATCATTTCAATTTTTGCTTCACCTGTATTACATTGATTGGAAGATATTTATATATGGTTTTATAAAAGAAATCCCCAAATTAAATTTTGTTATGTTTCCTTGCTAAATTTAACATTTGTATTGGGGGAAGGACAAAATAAGCTTTCTAATTTGTTTATTCTGTAGTATTCTGAAAGTCTGCATCAAAACCACAAAACACTGGGTTCACTATTCAAAGGATAGTCGTGACTGACCGATTGTCCCCACATTTCCTTAAATAGCAAAGATGTCCTAGAGTATGCATTGGTGTCTGTGTTCCCGGAAGTGGTTAATTTTCAAGGGAGTCTTGCAATAGCGCATGTACTCTGTTGCCTTGCTGAGAGGTGGCCTGGCAGGGTGTCTCTAGTTGTGTCCCTTTGGTCCACAGGTCTCTGCTTCTTCACCCAGAGGAAATCTTTTCCTAAGTGTGTTCATTGCCTAATATGCCAGGCAATGATTCCAAGGCCTGCTGACTTCAATAACACAGAAGAAGAAGAAAGGAAATGGGATTTTTTTTTTTTTTTTAATGAAACAGGACAAAGAAGGGCCTTCTGGGAGGGAAATAGGGCAGATTTTTCATGCACTCTGGTTACTAGATCCTTTCTGCAGGGGACAGCTGGAGTGGGAATGTCCTTCTCTGTATTAACCAGGGTCTCCTTCCTGTTGACCTTTCAGGATGGGGCCAGAGAAATTGGTCAGTTAACCTCTTCTTCCCATCCAGCTGGGAACTTAGAAGGATAGTACCAAGAAAAAATTCTACATATATATGATGATTAAAAAAAAATAAGACCATCACTATCTTATTAATAAAACATAAAGAGGAAAGTTATAGACTATGAAAGCCCTAAACAGGATCTTAGGGAATCTAGAATTTATGTGATAGATGGTTCAAATGTTTTGTGGTGTTTGATTCTTAATGTATTTGACTGCTTGTGCATAAGAACATTTCACCAGTGAGTTTGTCATTTATGCTTCCATAGGCTACCCAATGCCCTGCACCTTCATCTCTCCGCTTTGAGTATCTTGTCTATTGTCCTATATAGTAAAAAGAAGGTGACTCAACCTTTTTGTTGGTTGCATTATTCATAAGGCATCCTCTGATTTACTCCACCAGGCACCAAGATGCAACCAAGTCGTTTCCAGAGTTATTACTTTAATAAATATGGTGTCAGGGCATAAAATCCCCCTGTTACATCACAGTAGAGTTATAGGATAATGATTGCATTTTGACACAAAATTGAAAATTGAATGCCATGTTTTTTCTACCTACTCGAGGTCTGGTATGTTACAAGCTTTTAAAATTTTCCAGTGGGCACCAATCTCTTGTACTAGGAGGTTAACTTACTCTAACTTCTTTCATATTAAAGTGGTTACACTGAAACCACAAGACTCTCACCTCTTTTTCATGTTCAACTGGAAGACTTAAAAACATTTTTCTTCTTTTTAAAGTTTTTTTTATATATTTTTATGTTTTTAGCTTTATTTTTTTTTAATTTATTCACTTTTCATCCCAATGTCCTCTCCTTCATCTCTTCCTGGTCCCACCCTCTTTCCCTCTATTCCCCTCCCCTAGTTCTCAGAAAGGGGGAGCCCTCCTCCCCTTCCATCTGATCCCAGCCTATCAAGTTTCCTCAGGACTGCCTGCATCCTCTTCCTGTGTGACCTGGCAGGTACCCCCCCACAATAGGGAAGTGATCCAGAAACAGATAACAGAGTCCATGTCAGAAACAGCCCCTGCTCCCCATACTAGGGATCCACATGGAAACTGAGCTGCCATGTGCTACATCCGACCAGGGAACCTAGGTCCTCTCCATTCATGGTCCATGGTTGGTGCATCAGTCTCTGCAAGACCCCAACCCCTTCTGGGCCCAGATTTGTTGCCCCTGTCAGTCTTCTTGTGGTGCTCCTTGTCCCCTCCGGGTCCTTCTATTCTCCCCCCCCCCATTCTTCTATAAGACTCTCTCAGCTCTTCCCAAAGTTTGGCTGTGAGTTTCAGCATCTGCGTCTATCCCTTGCTGGGTGGAGTCTTTCAGAGAACATCTATTGTAGGATCCAGTCCTGTTCCCTCTCTTCCACCGCTTCTCCACAAACAGTTGTCTATTCTATTTGCCCTCTCCTTCAAACCCTCCCCTATACTTCTCCCTGCTCTTTGAAATTCATGGCCTCTTTTGTTCCACTAATTTTTCTAACACCCATATATGCATATACATATATGTTCCAAAATGTAACCTGTTCAGTCTGTGTGTTACTTGTGTGTGTGTGTGTGTGTGTGTGTGTGTGTGTGTGTGTGTGTGTGGTGTGTGTGTTTTCAGGGCTATAATCTTAGTTTAATCTGATGCCAGGAATAAGAGGAGGATCCACCGTCTGAAAGTGTACATAGATGGCTGAAGGGCTAAGAGCACCCACTCTGCAAGCATGAGACCCAGAAACTACATCAAAATCTTTCATGCCTGCATGTTCCCACAGCCCCAGCCCTGGTGGGCAGTGGTGGAAAAAGACTCTTGCGAACACTCAGCATAGTCTTCATCACTGAGCGACGCCTGTGTGTCTCCAGATCCTACGCAGTTATCTTTGTGAGAGTGGTGGCATCCAGCCACATGCTAATGTAAATTATTAAGCAAATTCCACATTAAAAAAAAAAAACCCAAACTTAGGAAAAGACATGAAACACGGCTAAGCATAACTCAATATTACATTCTACAATATTTTACAACTTTCTCCTTATGGGCAAAAAAAAAAATTAAAAAGAATCTTATATTGAAACCTTTCACATATCTGTGATGCTCTGAAGTTCAAATTAAAAGCAGATGACAGAATCTGGTTGAACCATGAGGGGTTTCACTGGTTGGGGAAGATTTCTTCAAGCAATCACTATGTCAAACAGTGCAGATGTCTCTCTCTCTTCCTACGATTACGATCAGAGACCCAAACTTATCAAAAAAAAAGAGGCACCATGTGTCCCTGGAGAAAGGTGGTTTTGCCACAATTGTTCCACATGGATTCCAGAAGAATGAGGAAGTACTAACGTGTCTAGTCACCTGAGCCACGTGTGTGTGGTCGAGCAAGGCTCTGTTGTGGAAGCCAAGTATGTTGGCTTGGGCTGTCTGTTCCGTGTGTTGAGAACTATGAGTAAAACCTAAACCCCAGAAAATATGCCGTTTGCCTTGTTAAAGTGCTGTAGTTATACCTTCTTACAGGGGTTGAAGATACGTTAATTGAGTGGATTATGATGATGTGTCCCTTCGATGATGGAATGCCTGACTGAGCGACCTGTGAGAGGAAATTATCTGTTTATTCTGATCACTTTCACAGGACTTACGGTTTCTTGCCCTCCAGCAGCTGGACAGAACATTGCAAAGAGCAAGGATGCTTTGTGAAGGAAATCTATTTCCTTTTTTCTTCATCACTTGCTTTTCTTTTTTTGAGAGAGAGGCTTGTGTACCCTAGAGTGGCATCAACCGTCTTGAACTCCAGATCCTTCTGACCCTGACTTCTAAGTGTTGGAATTAGTATCTGCCACCAGGCTTGGCTGGTGGGGGGAGGGGGGAGTTCGTCAATCGTGTTGGGCAGGAAGTAGAGAGATAGGACGAGGTCAAGTGGTCAAGGATAACGTACCACCAGGAATCATTCCCAGTGGCCCACTTCCTTCAGTTAGATCCCACACTGTAGCTTTCTTCCGCCTCCCAAAATAGTTCCACCAGCTGGGGATCAAGTATTCAAAACATGAGCTTGATGGAGACATTTCATAGCAAATGAAAAACAGACGAACACACAGTATTCTGAATATTGCCTTCCTTTTTCTTTCTATTTTGTTCATGCTTACTGTGTTTGGTGGCCAAACTGTAAATGACTAGGTCACTAACTAACTAACCTAGGATAGTCACATTAATGCAAAAGAAACACATCACTCAAGTGCACTAGAGTGTGTTAAAATGTTCACCATCTGGTTTACTTTCTCTTCTGTTACTATGATAAAATACTCTGAATAAAACAACTTAATGGGCAAAGGTTTGATTATGGCTTTCAACTCCAGAGGGACAGTCTGTGTGGCAGGGGAGACGTGGCAGCTGGTAAGGAAGGCATGGTGGTGAGAGCCAAAGGCTGGCTGGCACTTGCTCAGAAATCAGAGTGAGCCAGATGTGGGGTCGGGCTATACACACACTGACCCACTTCTAGCCATGCCCCAGCTCCTAAAGGGCTCACAGTTCCTCCACACAGCACTACCAGCTGGAGACCAGGCATTCAGGTGAGCCTATGGGGCATTTCCCATCCAAACAAGACATCGTAAACCTGTGTCGTGGAACAACTTCTCAGGAAGACAGCACCAACGTGTGTAGCGTGCTGCAGAGGATTCACGTGCTTGGACTGCTATGGACAAGTCCCTTCACACCAGTGAACTCATCTCCTGTTCGGTCTGCACTGTGGACTGGTGTGTGTGCCAATGGTCCAAGGGTTGATCAGATCTTGAAGAAATCATGTCCAAAAAGTACGTAGCGTATAGCTTATAAAAGTCTCCCACAATGGAGAGTGTGTGTGAGAAAGGTAACATGTAACATACAGCCCAAAACATGTGTATGTGCCTGTGTTCCAAACAAACCAAGAAAGCTTACAGGACAGTGGCGTGGGGATACCATGAGCTTCGGTATGGCATTGTAGACACGAGGATAACTTAACTGTGGATTGCACTTTAATTGCTGTGCAAATTCGAGGTTCTATTTGTACGCTGTTGTTATGTCAGAGTAATTTAAAATGTCATCTTGTAACAGAAGCACTCATTGCAGTGTTAATATGAAAGTCGATATGAAGCGCTTTAACGGTGTTCAGTATGTTCTGTCTGGCTGTAAGAATCCTAAATGTTAAATTAAATAAATTCCTGCTTAAAGAAGCAGAGACTGTACATCTACATC